GTTATCTTAATGATTTTAATCATTCATTTGGAACGAATTAGTAAATATTCAAAAAAATAAAATCCATTAAAAATTCTGTTAAAAATACCTAATATCGGAAGGTGCCGATATTTACGATATTGTGGACCTATATAGACAAATCTATTTCTGGGGGTAAAGACAATTCCGTTGAAAAATGTGGATATCGGGGGCTACCGTTATATGGGGGCTATACGATATCGTAGACCGCTATATGGGAGCTATATGACATCGTGAACCCATATAGATAATTATCTTTTAAGTTATAAAGTACTCACAAGGAACTCCTTGTGTGGATTTTCAGAAAATTACATTGGGAAATGTGGCTAAAATCATCAAAATACCGAATATCGGGGGGTACCGTTATATGGGGGATATACGATATCGTAGACCTATATAGACAATTCTCTTTCAGGGGGTAAAGCATTCACAAGGGACTCCTTGTGTGAAATTTCAGACAATTCCATTGAAAAATGTGGCTAAATTCATCAAAATACCGAATATCGGGGGGTACCGTTATATGGGTGCTATACTATATCGTATACCTATAGAAATAATTCTCTTATAAGGGATAAAGTACTGGCAAGGAACTCCTTGTGTGGATTTTCAGACCATTCCATTAAAAAATGTGACTATAATCATCAAAATATCGAATATCGGGGGTACCGTTGTATGGGGGCTATATGATATCGTGGATCGATATAGCTCATCTTCGAACTTGACCTGCCTGCAGACAATAGAGAGATCTGTGCAAAATTTTAGCTTCCTATCTTAATTCGTTTTGACTGTAGCGTGATTACAACAGACGGAGAGACAGGGCTAAGTCGTCTTAGAATTTTACGCTGATCAAGAATGTATACACTTTGTTGGGTCTAAAATGATTATTTCGATGAGTTACAAACGGAATGACGAACTTAATATACAATCCATACTATATATTGTGGAGGGTATAAAAATTCATAAAAATACTGAATATAAGGATTTACTGTTATGAACAATTTTCCGTCATAGGCTCTATTGCCCATTTGGAACTTCAAATTCCAAATTTGAAATAGTTCCGTGAAAAGTGTGACATTTATATTATACGCTGTGTACTATTTATATTAACGCTAACCACCAGCCCAATACCAGAACGTTTAATTACCAGATAAAATCCGTTCAGTCAAAACCAAATTGCACCGAATAATAAATATAAATGTTGCACTTAGTACACATTTCCAGAGCCCACCTACTTATGTCAACACTACTTCCGAAAAATAATTTTTATACCAAATGTCAAGATTGCTTGAGGTGATCGACACTTTGGTATTTTTAGTGCTAACCTTGCTTTACAAAATACTCCAGACACAATAGATCAACGAACTGTTATCCGGAGATTTTGCTGGCCATTGTGCCCTGGAAATGAAGCGAAGAACCTCATTTTGTAACCATTCTTGGGTGTCGCGTGCTGAGTGCGATGGTGCTGAGTCCTGTTGGAATGTCCAAGATCTGCGGCCTAAATGTTTGCGTGCCCAAGGCTTTAATACACCCTCCAGAATATTTTCGCGATAATATTTGGCATATATTCTGATGCCACGGTCGATTAATATGAGCGGAGAGCGATCATCGGCTGTTATGGCAGCCCACACCATCACCATGTCCGGCGCTTGAGTTCTGGTGGCCAACCGAAGGTGCACATTTTCAGTTGACCTCGCGATCTTTTGTTTTTCTACCAACTGCTGGACAACGAATGTTTTCTTATCGGAGAAAACCAAATTCGGCAGTTCACCACTTTCGGCCAAGCGAAGTAACACTTTAGCTTCTTTGAGTCTATTTTCTTCCTATTGCGGTGTGAGTTCTTGCACTTTTTGGAATTTCAATGGCTCGGGGTAAGTTTATTTTTCAATATTTTCCGAATGGAATATTGCGATATGTTCAGCCCACGAGCCATTATTCGGCCACTGCGACGCGGGTTTCGATCAAGTCGCTTCTTTACTTTTCAAACCATTTCTGCTGATGTTGCGGTTTACTTCCGTTCACTTCCATGACGTCGGGCTACGCTACCAGTATCACGATAACGAGCAAAAGATTTATTCACATTTAAATGCTGGAGTGCTCTAACGATAGCCACTTGTGTTTTTCCAGTCAAAGATAAAGAAATCACACTATCACGCTTGAATTCCATCACGAACAATTTTTTTTCTGGAAAATTCTCATCAAAATTCTTTTGTACGCTTGTAAACAATATAATGAGCAGTCACTGGAATATTATTAACAACTGTCGGACGAGTGGCTTAGAAATGACAGCAGTCTGAGGTTGGTTGCAGTTTTTTCATCTCACCCTGTATATATTCATCAGAATCAGCATAAAATTCTAAGTCGATTTAAAGAAGTCTCTTTGTCTGCCTATTTAAATCACAATAAAGCTCACATTATTTGACATAGAGCTTAAAAATTTGACAGAAGAATTTGTATTGTGTCTAGGATGTTTGAAAATGAGATATATCGGTCCACGTTTTGGTATAGCCGCTATATAACGGTACCTCCCGATATTCGGTATTTTGATAATTTTCTCCACATTATTTCACGGATTTGTCTAAAAATCGGTATCTGTAGCTCGTAATGGGTTCTAGCTCACGTTCCGAAACATAGGTCCACGTTTTGGTATGGCCCCCATATAACGGTACCACCCGATATTCAGTGTTTTGATGATTTTTGCCACATTTCCCACGGATTTGAACAGAAATAAGGTTTTGCAGTTCGAAATGGATTCTAGGTCCAGTGGTATTTGTATTTGGTACTTGTAGCTCGTAGTAATGTTATAGATATGGATACGGCGTTGTATATCGCGTCGAGCTAAACCTATAGACAAGTGATTTATAAATTAATAATTATACCCTACAACACTATGTGTTGGGGGTATTATAAGTTTGATTGGGCCAAAAATTATGTAATACCTCGAAATATTGGTTTCCCACATAGGAAAGTATATATGGATCTTCCTATCACGCCGAGCTGAGTCGATCTAGCTATGTATGTCCGTCCGTCCATGTTAATTTGTAATCACTCTACAGGTCGCAATTATGGACCGATCTTCACGAAATTGAAAATGGAGGTGGGGATAAGGTCAGAATAGAACCCTATTGTTTTTGGAGATGATCGCATAACATTTGAATCAAAGTTGAAATAAACCAAAAACTGATTTTGCAGTTGCTCTACAGGTCGCAATTATAGACCAATCGACCCGAAATCTAGCATGGGGCTAGGGCTTAGGGCTGGGAAGAAGTCTTTCAATTTTTATGGTCATCGGGTAATATGTAGTGTGTGAAATAGACCATAACATTTGTGTTAAATAAAAGTCAACTTTTCCATAAACCTCGAATATGTTTAGTCCCGGCGAAATCACAAATAGACGGAAGGGCCATTTCTGACCATTACGTAGATGCCGATAATAAATATATCGAATATATGTAGCGAAATATTTACAATGTGTATATACTAAGGAAGGGGATGTTAGCTAGAAAGCTTATATATCAAGAATGACTGGACAGATTTTGCAAAATTTTGTTAATTCAGAATCCCCTCTTGGCATACAAATATAACGTCTAAAAAAATCGCATAAAAAGATACCAATAATGATGTCATTATAGATTTTGTAACATTTTTTAAATTTTTCATATTTTTTATCGCATGCGTTTTTTTTTTTTCAATTTGACTTTATATTGAAGTGTACATTTTGTGACATTTTTTCACTTTACAACACAGGTTGGGGTTATTATAAACAGATTGCAATTATCGTCCGATCCTCACGAAAATTTTCAAAAGGGTAGGGTTAGGCTCAGAAGATCTAGGCCTATGTTTTCAAAGATGTCCGCAATATATTTAGAATTGAAATGGAAAATTTTCTTATCACACAATTGAAGCCAATCGACACCCATCAGAAGAGAGTTAAGGACAGGGAAGAAATCTAGCTTTTTGGATGATGATTGGATTATATTTAGCTGTAAAATGGACCACAACAACTAACAGCACGACGGAGTGTGTAAATATATGGCAAATGTCCCTGTTCAAAATGCTAAGAGTAATATCTGGGCAGTGCTCCGGGACATAATTTCAAAAGCAAAATCTTCCAAAATGGTTTTGGACATAAGGGGGCTTCTAATATATTGTACTGTTGTATGATATCACATGGTCGGCCCCGCACGACTATAGCCTTTGCTTATTTGTATTTTTAAGTTTGTCATTCTGTTTGTAACACCTCGAAATATAATTGTTTCAAATTTTGTATTTAAAGTTCGTAATGAATACTACAGTCCGTGCAGGTCCATTTCTTCGTAAGCCCCATATAACGGTATCTCCTGATTTTTGGTATTTTTTGATGATTTTAGCTACATTGTTATTTTAATGGCTTATGACAATAGTTGCCTATGAAGGTCCACGTCGTCGAATATACCTTAATATAACGACTACTTTAGGTATTTTTAGGATTTTGACAAAATTTTTAACGTATTGTATTTTTTCAAAATTGCCAAATTCGTTCCAAATATGCATTACGGGAAAAAAGACTTCCTTCAAACAAATGGAAACAAATTTTGGGATTTTTGACAACACTGATAAAAATAGAGATTTCTTTGCTTTGGTGACATATAATGAAATTTAATGAAGAATATGTCCTTTTTTCTCCTCAAGTGTCTTCTATTTTCCTCATTGTTTAAAACATATACACATGTGAGGAACTCAAACCGACATACAATTATTTCCTTAAACTCATTCACAATTTCAGCGGAAAATCATTCGAATTCGTTAATATTCTATTAATTATCTAATCAAATAAATACATTGTTTGGAATGCCTTTCGGCGGTCTCATCCGTTTTCATAAATTCCATAATTCGCGCGTTTCTGTTCTTTGAAATGTTTACGAAGATTGATTGATGGCCGGTTGAATGATTTGTATTAACCATGAAATCACGGCGAAATAACTTTAAATTTTTATTTCTTGCAGAAAAATTACTCATTTAACCAAGACTATTTGCTACAGCCTTGCAAATTGCAACTTTGCCCCGAAAAAAGATCCACCACTTAAATGACTAGAAATGCAGATGTCGAAAATTCCACGAATATATTTAAATATTTCAAGACTGATAATTACCTGGAGTGAGTAATCAATAACAGAATGGAAAAATGTAGAAGCTCTTACTAATTTAAATATGTGTGCATATTGGTGTATTTGAAATTTAGTGTTCCTTTTTCAACCATTGATGGGCCAGCATTTTGAAATGGATGATATTTTAGTGTTGAAAGGCGATGAATTGAACTCTTCCTGTCCCCTGGGATATTTCCAATGTAATGCCACATTTCAATGTGTCTCTCAGCGTTTGAATTGCGATGGCTGTGTTGATTGCGACGATGGATCTGATGAGTGGAACTGTGTCAATGACATTGATGACATCTATTGGAATCATTTATTTCGCAAGCAGCCCTATGGCCTAAATGATGGTGTGGAGTTTGGAAGGTGTGGTAAGTAAAAAATATACACTTGTATGATAGAACATTTAATCCATCTACATATCATAGGGGGTCATATAACTTTAAGATATCCTTGCAATACAAAGGTGAAATCTCGTAATCTACTTAATCAACTTGGCTTACATTTTGCACAGGGTCTAAGGTTCCAAAACCCTTAGACAATCGAACTACAATAATGACGGGGAAAATTCCACTTGGCATTTTCCACTACCCAGACCGCTAATTGTAAAGTGAAATTATAAGAAAATTTGCAGCGAATTGAAAACGAGTTCTAAATTTTTCACAAACAAACAACGTTTTTTATATCCCTAACTTAAAAAGGAGGATATATTAAATTTATCATTCCGTTTGTAACATCCCTAAATATTTGTCGTAGCATAAAATTCTTATTCGAACAATGTCCGTCTGTCTGTCTGTTGAAATCACGATACAGCTCACATTATTAAAAGTAGAACTTCAAAATTTGGTAGAACAATTTGTATTGTGTCTAGGATGTTTGGTATTAGAACTGAAGTTTAGGAATACTAGCCATTCTCTCGATATTCGGTGTTTTGATGATTTTTGCCACATTTTTTCAAGAATTTGTCTAAAATTGGCATTTGTCGGTAATAATGGATTCTAGCTCCGGTGGGTAAACATAGTATATAAATTAATTCAATGTTAATTTATTTATTTTTTTAAAAATTTGTGATTGCTGCTTACTGCAAGCAATCACGTCTTTATTGGTTAAGGTTCCGGACTACAAAGTGAATCATGAAATAAAACTACCCTAACTTATACTTTGGATTCATGCACCCAGATGATACTGGACACCTGCTCGTGTTGGCGATGGAATGTTGCTGTCTGCTTGTTGGATGTTGTTGTCAGTGTTTCGGTGGGAACTGCAGTGTCAGCAAAATGACACGCTTATACTTTGGTTGATGAATTCTTTGGGTTGCTAATGTTGAATTTGAATATGTCTGGTGTTAACTCCTCCCCTCTTAAATACAATCGTCCCGATTGTTCAAAATGAATGAATATTGTAAATGCTGGATGTTTTAGTTTCTTTCGAAGTTGTAGGTAAATTTACTTCCGCAATCTCTATTTCATCTCCTGGGGCATCTTCGATTTTCAGATTATTATTTTCGGAGTTTTTTTGCATATTTTCTTCTCAGTGATATTATTGTTATAGTTGTAAGGATTATTGCAGAAACACAACCGATGCCGACTGCTAAGGTACCTTTGGTTTCCATAGATCGTATTCGTTCGATGTTCTTTACGTTCAACTGTTTAAGCAGCTCCAATGATATTACTTCTTCTAATTTGTCTTTTGGACCTTTTGGTTGCAAAAAGGCGGGAAGAGGTTTATTGGCACTTATTCCTCTTGAACTGTAACTGTGGCCATCGATTCTTATAGTGACGTTGAAATGTTTGATGAGATAAGTCCCGTTTAAAAAAATCTGCTCGTTGTCTACACTGATAGCGCCTTGATATTGGTTCAGCAAGAGCAAGTCCGATCCGATCTCTTCAATTGTTGGTATGTGTTCGTTGTTTATTTGGGTGCATTTCCCTACTCTACTTTTGAACAAATTAGTTATACAATTATCATCTCTTAATGAAATAAGCTTATCTCTATTACAAATTGTTATGTCGTAATTACTTTTACATTCTGTTTTTATTCCAAATAATTCTTTATTACATTCCAAAATTTTTTCGTATTCAATTTTATCAATTACATCTCCAGTTTTTATAGGTTTTATGAAATATACTTTACAAACTTCTTCTTGAGTTACAGGGATACTAAGGATGTACAAAATTTCTCGTTTATTTGTAACAATTTTTACGGATCCAAAAGTTAATAGTTCATCTATCGAATAAGTAGGAATATTATATTTTTCAAAAACAGTGTTTATTTGATCGATTTCGATTTTAGAAAGCAGAAATGAATTGACGATATTAGCTTTAGCCCACTGTATTGCAAACTCTACGTTTTGTAACTCTTTTTCAATAAAATTAAGTTTTCTTTCGATTTTGAATACTACTTCATCGTTCCACCCTTCCCTTTTTATTATTTCATTCGTCTTATTAGTTATTTCGGTTATTCTTTCCGAAATTAATTGGTTTATTATCAGCTGTCTATTGTTATTTTCCAAAATATTGCCAATTTTCTGTTCTAGGATCTGAAAATCATGACTATCTGGACTGCCTGCAATCCACTTCCAAGCACTTCCTATGAAGTCTATCGATCTTTTCTCTCTGTGCGGCATCAGACGGTCTAATAGTCCATTGATGTCAATTAATTGTTGCTTCATAAATGGACGGAGAGGATGGTCTAGGTTCACGAATTTGTCCAGAATGTGTTCGGTTTCACGAGTGAGGTTTTCATACTGTTCAAGATCTATTGAATGAATTACTTTAAATGTCCCGTTCTGTTTCCTTGCTATTCCATTATGAATTGAAATGAGTCTTGCGTTCGAGTAGTCGAGGATGCTGAAGTCAGCCAGGGCGTTTCCAGGAAACAGTCTGTAAAATTTAGGATTTTATTAATTTCTAATATGGCTTTTGTGAATAACCCTTCCGCTTTCGGTCAAAACGGTGGTATTCCGGTTTTCCTTAACTATTTCCTCTTTGTAACGGTCGCTTAGTTTCGTTCCTAACCTTTTGTTGTTGCTTACATAAATTAATTGTCCGGGAATATAATCCTTAACTGGTCGTTTCTTTTTGTTATGATACGTCAAGTCGTTGGCCTGTTTCTGTCTGAGTTTGTCAACAATATTCCGTCTGGTAGTCTCTATGTCTTGTGGAGAAAAGTCAATTGTGCGTCCAAAATACAAATCAACAGGTCTTCTATTCACCGTGGAGTGAATCGAGTGATTGTATTCATTAACAGCCCTCTCCAGTAATTCCTCAAAATTCCTGGATGTTCCATCACCTTTCAAACATCTCATTATCTCAGCGAGGGTAGAATGAAAGCGTTCTATCTGTCCGTTAGCCTCGCTCCTGTAGGATGGGGTCGTAAAAATATTTATTCCTAATTCGTCCTTCATCATGAATAATATCGAACTGGAATTTAAAGACGGTTCGTTGTCCATTACCACATTCTTCGGAACTCCGTAAGAGAATAATAATTCCCTCAGTGGTCTTCTAATAGCCTCAGTAGATCTTCCGTCTAGTATTTTCACTTTAACGTACTTTGAGAATTTGTCAATGGAGGTCAGAACTAATTTCCTATCTGTAGAGAATATATCAATATGAATAGTATGACCTGGGTAATTTGGAATAGGCGTCTCACAAAGGTAAGGTTCATTGGGATGTCTCTCGTATTTGTTTTTCTTACACGTCGTGCACAGTTTTATAATTCGCTTTATTTTTCCCGACATCCCCGGAAAATAATAATTTTCCAAAATCTGTGTTTTGTTCTCTCTGTCGTTCCTATGGGCTCTATTGTGGGTATCAATAATTATTCTTTCTTGGTCATTTTCTGATAATATATCTTCTACTACCTTCTGAGTAAACCTGCATTTGTACTGGCTAAAATGGAGTGGATAAATGTTCTGAATTTTTCCCATTATTTGTTCGGGTGCCTTGATTCCGTTAATTACAGACGGGTTCAAATACCTCTTCAAGATTGTTTGAAGTTTTCGTTCGTCATAATGTGGTTCAGTAATTGTGTGTCGGTGGATGCTTGGGAAAACAACATTGAACTGGTACGTTGATGTGTCATCCACACTTATGAGAAGCTGGTTCTTGAAAACATTAATGGGTGACTCAACACTGGGTATAAGGGTCTCTGATGAGCTCTCCGCACTATGCTGTGTGGGAGTCAGTGAATTAATCGGAGTAATAGAATTATTGTCCTTCTGTACCGTTCTAGACAGAGCATCTGCTACGACATTCTGTCTTCCGGGTTTGTACCGCAATTCGTAATTATATTCCTCCAGAGTACATTTCCAGCGTTTCATCTTCACATTGCTATTTTTGTTACTAATGGCGTAAGTGAGGGGTTGGTGGTCGGTATAAATTATAACTTTCTTCGATCCGTATAGATAATTCCTCAAGGTAGTGAGGGCCCATATGATGGCCAACATTTCCCTCTCATTTGTGGCGTAATGCTCCTCTGTTTCATCCAGAGTTCTTGAAATGAATGCAATTGGTCTTCCCTTTTGACTCAACACTGCTCCAAGAGCGACACTGGAGGCATCCGTCGTTAGGTCAAAATCTTCTCTGAAATCTGGATACGCAAGTATCACATCGTTTGAAACCAATGCATTTCTTAGCTCGTTGAAAGCTTCTACGGCGGAAACATCTAATGTCACCGGAATTTGACTGGAAGCTGTCTTTGGAATTCTGCCTTCCTCCCCTCTGAGGAGCGATGTCAGCGGCTTTGCTACATCGGCATATCCCCTTACGAACCTTCGATAGTAGCCCGAGAGGCCAAGGAAAGAACGAAGTTCCTTAAGTGTCTTAGGAATCGGGAAATTAAGAATGGCTTCCACTTTCTTTGGGTTGGTTTTTATACCATCCCTCGACACAATAAATCCCAAAAATTCCACTTCTTGTTTAAAGAATGAACACTTGTCCAACTGGATCTTCATATTAGCGGACTCTAGTGTTTGGAAAACTTTCTTTATGTTCTCGGCGTGTGACTTCTCGTCCTTGCCAAAGATGATAATATCATCGATGTAAACAAAACAGATTTTTCCAATCAATTCTCTGAGTATATCGTCCAGCGTTCGCTGAAATATTGCTGGCGCGTTCCTCGGGCCAAATGGCAGTCTCGTGAACTCGTACTTGCCATTGTTGATTGAGAATGCGGTTTTCTGTCTATCCTCCTCCCGTAGGGGTATTTGATGGAAACCGCTTTTAAGATCAATGACCGTAAAATATTGATTCCCCCCTAGGTTAGATAGGACTTCCGTCACCTCGGGAATCGGATATTTATCCGGTATGGTGACGGCGTTGAGCTTTCTAAAGTCAACGACCAAACGATATTTTTTTCGACCAGAACTGTC